GTCCCGCGCGCGAGATACGCAAAAAGGCGCGTTGTCGTCAAAGGGTTAAGAAACCACTTCAATCAGTTAGCGACTCAAAAGGGTATCACAAACGCAAAAGGGCCTGCATGCTTGGGTTTATTGCGATGTGGCTTGTCAGTTCGCGCGGGCTATAGGGAACATGACCTAACCCACTACTCGGTCTTACTCTGCTCATCAGTCTACGTCGGGAAGCACAGCCTCAGATAACACCCAAAGCAGTCTGCACAGCAATTGCAACTACACGAAGAAAAAATCAGCTCATCCTCACTATCAACATAATCAGCAGCAAATAAGAATATTATGGGTGGGCAGTCATGATTTTTTCCAAAGCCAACAAAAGGGGTAAGAAACAAAACTTCGGAAACTCTCGGTATATTTTACAAAAGGAGAAACTGAAAGGCGAGTTGCTTCCTTTAGATACCCAGTAGCATTTTAAAAAGATTGATGGTTACTTACAGAGTTTATCTATAAAATGCAAGAATGAAGTCATGAGGCAGCCGGAGCTTTCACCTTCTCGGAGGTGGTGCAGGTAAGGGTTTCATAAAAAGGAAGTGCCATTACAGGCTAATCAAAGTGTTCCCGAAAAGTTTTACCCGAGTTTATAGATTTCAGTAATACGCGACACAATCCAGTCATCAAAGCTGAAGTCCTTCACATTCGTATACCGACGGCTAGCATTCTTTTTACTACCATATGGTCTTATAACTTTACCCGATACTCAACTGTTTTTCCATAAGTAAGTTGTGCTCAGTTACTGCCGCGGCAGTTGCTCCTTAGCCGTGTTACCACCTATTCGACCGAAAATTGCGCTTAAGTTGTCATAAGTTAACAGAGATCTTCATGCGAGTTTCATTGTCAGTGAGGCAAATTGAAAACTGAGAGCAGTTACAACTTTGAAAGCTAAGCAAGGAAGTTTCCGACCACGATTTGCAAGATCAGCGCGGTCATAGTTAGGTAGAAATACTCTGCCAAGAGCTCTGCTTAGATGTATTGAGCAAAAAATCAAGAGCAATAGTTTGAAAACTTAAACTGCAGAGCAGGAATTTTGTAGAGGTGTCACCGATTTAGCAAGTCAGGAACGATACTTGGCAAAGGCTTGATGGGAAGTATTGCTGAGTACCATTTCGTGGACAGGTAACTATTATGATACCCTCAAAATGGAGAGCTCGAAAGACAAGGCAAGATTTCCCGATAAGTGAAAGTTTGGAGATGGATGAGTTCCTTAAAGCTTTCCCACTGTTTAACTGCTCACTTATCTAGATATGTTGTTGACAACGTAGATGTCTCCAAATATCTTCAAAGGTTAGGGGAATGCGGTTAGGACGACGCAACAACATTACAATGAATCGTAAAAATAAGTTGGCACCGAATGACAAATATTTTACTGTTTTCGTTCGGATAGTCTCGTTTAAAGGACGGAGGAATTTGCAGGATGAACAATGATCCCAACTATGTTTCCGTCCACGGCGAAGTTATATTACAAAGCGAGTATCCTAAGAGCCAATGAACGACTACAGAGCTCATAATAATTGCTTTCAAAATTGCGTTTTGATGCGCTACGAACTTAAGGGGGAGACCTGAGAGGAGAGGAAGTGAGTGATGTGGAAGAGGGGTTATTCCGACTACCATACATAACTGAACTTCAAATGGTAGGAAACGAGAATTGTAGAGCGCATGCTGATATGGTAACACATTCCAGAATGAGATACCTTCTATGACACCACTATTCAAATGTAGACTTCCCCTAAATATTCTCAAACAATAAAAGATCCCTATCTAACTCAAAGTCATAGGCGTGACAGTGGCAATAGTGATGCCCTGGGTTAACGAGCTAGAAGTAAATGCTGCTTCGAACAAATGCTCCAAAAAAACCCTGCAGCAATTATTTAGTTGTGTAGAGTAAACAAGTAAACGGAACTGCACTGTGTTCAAGTCATCAATTACAGAATCGTGAAATGAGAACCAAGCACCAGCAGAAATCGACCCTACCTGTGAGATGAGTTTGAACTGCTCTCCTCCTTCTGGATTTTTATCTGGGTGATACTTCAACGCTAATTTTCTGTAGGCCTTCTTCAGCTCACTGTCTGTGGCGTTAGGCTGAACGCCAAGAACATCATAATACTTGGTTTCCTTCACCATATCCCTGCCAAAATGCACTCTCTAGCGAGCTAGAGTATGGAATACCCCTGAAATAAACATAATAAATAGAAGGAACTAGATATATAAGGATCAGAGAGGTGAAAGGTGTACGAAATCCAATGATCAGTGAGAAAAACGCCAGTGAATAAACAACGCCATTTCTAATGTGGTTCCGTGTTCGGAAGCTGTGTATCTCTACAACAAAACAATGTACTGACACTCCAGAATTTGAAAAGGATGCATTCCCTCAAACTTCTGAGAACTACTTTTATAAACGTAGGTTTTCTATTTTTATCGGGAAAACCATGAAGTTGACAAGCCTATCGGACGGCAGAGGAATCTCATCGAAACTCTCAAACTACAAAAACAGGCAAAATATCAAGCAGCACCTATGAAGAAAAGTTACAGACAAACTTGCTGAACGAATGAATGCTACTTTGATGTGCTTTCGCGATTATGCTCTAAGAACAGTTCGCGAACGTTCGCGCCTTAAAGGGTTTCTTCTAGACGACTGTACGTAACTGGAGCACGTTAACTGCCAAAATTCAAACAGGTAGTCACTATGCTAAGGAGGTGTGCTACCATAAGTTATTCTTTGTGTCCTATCTCTGTCTGTCTGTTTGTCTGTCTGTCTCATCGGTCAGCGACGGCTGTGGATTAACATTCTTCACAAACTTGCATGTGTCTGATCACTTAGTCATCAGTTCTTTGGCATTAGAGCAGCACCCGTGGCCTCGGTTCAGTGAAGAAACTCGAAGCTCTGGATTCTCTTTGTTGTCGCATGTACGTAAGATGATGTAAGTGTATCGAGAATCTTCAAACAATGTACTTTTTACAACGAATGGCTTTAAGTGTAGGGAAAAGTCAAGGCAGAAGGCCCACATAGTCGAAGGTATGAACTCAGCCGAAGCTTCTGTTTCCTTTACCAATCACTCGATAATCATGAATGCTTCCCACGCCGCGCGTTTCCTTCTGCTCAACTCCGGAGCTTTTTGTTGCTTGCCTCAAGGCACAATTCACAATATTTTCGGGGTATCTAAACTTAGACGATTAGGAAGTGGTAGTTCAGAATGGTGCAAAAATGGCGAAGAAAACGCAAAAATTAAGTATATAGAGAAACATAAGGCCTCAAGAAAGAACTGAAATCAGGGGTTGGACGAGAATGTGACGACAAGTTGCATAGAAGGATGATGTGCAAATGTGCGCGCCATTGCATACATCTGACCACAATGGCTGCTTTCATAGTCCGCGATTTGGCCCGCACGCGAGTGAGCGACGGAGGACCACTCGTCCGGCGGTGTCGAACGAAGTTCCGTTGTATTTATGGGACTCTTATTAACCCTATCTTGGCCGTTTTCCGACAAGACTGCGTCCCTCAGGCTATCCTTGGGGGTCGCGGGTTCGTCCGAGGAAGAAATCTCAGAAACCTTCTCTAACGTGAACTGTGCCTTCGAAAATAAACCATCCTACTCTACGTAACGCGATATCGACCGCTGCTCCCTTATTGGTAGCTATCATCGTCTACGATGGCGATCCCCTATTACTATTACGTCGTCTCACCTCCTGAGAGGACTCCCTAACTTAGTCCACGCCTCTTAAAGATGCGGGGCCAAGCGGGACCCACCAAAAAGCGTGGACCCCACTTCTACCTCTAACAACGTCAAGGGCGAGTTGTTTGATAAAGGCTTATTTATGATCAGTCTTGTTTTACTAGCGCTAACATCCGCGCTCATTATTTACTTGTTTTATTCCACTCCGTAGTAACCAGAGTTTATCAAAGCCACTTAATCGCCAACACATTTGTGATGCATCGGCTAAAATAGTTGTATATCTATTAGACAGAAAACAAATTTCACTCGAATAGAATCCAACGTGGTTCTGTACTTTTCGAAGCCAATCAAAACTGAATCGAACGAGGTTCTGTAACACAAGCAGAATCGAACGAGGTTCTTCCACAAGTTTACAATTAATGGTATAATAAGAAGTAAATTTAAACAACACAAAGCAACGGCACTTTCCCTTCATAGAAAGCCCATTCTCTCGAGCGCCAACACCATAAAGAACTTAGTAACACGCTGCGGAACCTATACTGCCAGGGTTGAATACCCTATTGCAGATGAGGAATCTACGAAAATGTAGGTCCACAGCTGCGCTCCTACAGAGCGGCGCCAGTTTTCTAAAAGAGGGGTAAGAAAAGATAGAGAGACGCTTTAATGTGATAAAGGAAGAATATAAATCATGCAAAAATAAGTCTGATAGAAGACACGTACTGCTTAAAATAGAGCAAAATGAGGGGCTCATCCCTAAGATAGAGCAGTGATACCAGCTTAAGAAGGCAGCAAATTCGATCTTTTTTATCATTACCATTTGATTCGTTGTCGGGATGGACGCTGTTGTGTCGGTTACTTTTCGACTCGTACAATCTGCGAGCTACTTCAATTCAGTTTAGCATGGCAGCAAATCCGATCTGCTTTTTCAGTACTGGTCGTGAGGTAAAGGTTGAAAATGTTAACAGATTGCCAATGAGAAGCACTTTAGGCACTCACTCTGAACTCGTGATTATTTTCTCATTTTAATACTAATACTCTTTGTTTCACAATGATGTCGCCTTCGACCCGAAGAAAAAAAACTGCCAGAAGCCCATGGAACTTTATGGCCTCTGCCATACCTCTTCAGTCATTCAACAACAATAAGAAAACACCTGTCGAGTTGTCATTTGTAGGCATAAATTGCCACTTTGTCATGTATATATGCCCTTTTAAGCCTCTATTGTACTGTAAACTCCATTGCTGGCGGAGTATCGTCGTCTACGACGATAATAATATCTGTAATGTTTATTAACGTATATAAGCGCTCGGAAATATTGTAGCACACTTTTGGCTCAATAAACTGCTGCCACTGAACGATCGACACAGGTCGAAAAGCGTGGTCCCCACTTTTACCTCCAACAACGTCGAGAACGAGACAAAGTTTTTTTTGTTTGATAAAGCTTTAATTATTTTCGGTCTGAGTTTTACTTACGGTAACATCCGGGCTCATTATTTACTTGTTTTATTTTACTCCGTGGTAACCGGAGTTTATAAACCACTGAACCGCCCGCACCTTTGCATCTTATTCTACTTGAGCACATAACAAATTGATTTTCCGCCTGTTCGCGACTGCTGAATTTTACCGGCACCTTGAAGTGATGTGGTAGAGCGAACGTAATATCATATAAGATTGCAAATCACTTGTTCACGTTTGCCATGGCTGGTTTTTGCAATTATATCACCGTTATATTGAATTCGTCATTGTTTACGGTAATGTATGGTTTCACTGATAGTGTGGACGTCTTTTTTCGATCAAGTAGTGCCCATTCGATCTGAGGTGGGATTGCTGTAACACGGTGCATAGTTGTCAGTGCCCTGAAGAAACAATTAGCGTACATGACAACGAGGAGGCCAAAATGCCCTCGGAATCACCGTATGGCAAAATAATGCGCACACAAAATGATATCAATGAGGTATCCGAAGAAGAAGGATTCATTTTACGATTTGGACCGAACATAGTGAAAGGAACTGCAATTTTGGTAGAACAGCTCCACTGCAATATCACTGTTAAACAGCTCTCTGGTTGCTACAATTGTTCCCATGGCGCGGATCTTTTACTCACATGCACATCCAACAGTGAGCGAGCAGTAACAGCCATTTGTGAAGCTCAGGAATTCTCATTTTCCTGCGATTCATCAGAAAAAAGAACTGGATTCTTTTAAACTTCCAGAAATCACTGGTAAACGAACGATGTTCTGCTCCATGCGGTTCAAGTGGAAACTTCATGTTACAGGGCAATCTTCATTTCCACCTACCATCAAAGAATTCTGTATTTGAAGACAATGCGCACCGTTTAGCCATCAGTGGTTATAAGATATCTCACTATCTAATCTTCAGCCACTAATAAACATCATGAAACATCATTGGAAGCTTGCACTGGCAGCTATCGTGTCTGCAGTAGTGGTAGCAGCGTTATCATACTTTATTGGCCCAAACGTGATCGCCATTCTATACAAAGCGGCTCTGAACATATTAGTGGTCGGAGCTGGAATGATCAAACGAGTGATA